AATTTTTTATTTTTTTTTTATTTGACCGGCGATTTAAGACCGCCGGAAAAAACCGCCGGAAAACCGCCGCTAAATTGCAAAACCGCCGGAAAATGCCCAATTTCTGCCGGAAATTGCCGCCGGAAATGAGTGATTTTCCTGTAGTGAGTTCTATCAATTCCATTTTAAGACTGAGCTATATAGTTCTGCCAAATCTTCTACAAAATTGTTTTGCAATTTGTTGTATGTTCCCACAAGATCATAAGTTTGATAAAGATGATTTAGTCCGAATGTGGATTGCATTGGGTTTCATTCAGCCGTCTCAAGGAATGATTATGGAGGATATCGGAGGAAGGAATTTTGATGTTTTAGTTAAAAAAGCTTTATTTGACAAGGTCGGAGATGACTACAAGATGCATGATTTAATACATGAGTCAGCATCTAAATTTTTTGCACATGAATGCAATAAACTTGTGGATGATGAAGAGTCATCTCTCAAAATTTCTGAGACTATTCGACACTTGTCTGTTCAAATTATAAGTCCAGACATCATAAAAAAGATTGGGCAGTTTAAATATTTGCATTCTCTTTTCTTGTTCTTTGAAGATTCTAATCAAGATCTTTGCAATGCGCTTGGTGAAATATTCAAAGCATCAAGAAGTCTGCGCTTATTATACTTATCTGCTTCACGTTTGGAAATCCTGCGCTTATTATGCGAATCTGCTCCATGCTTGAAAATGATACCTGAGGAGATTGGAAATTTTATACATCTTCGATACTTAAAGATTACACTTCTGGATTTGACAAAGCTGCCAAGATCTCTAAGTAATCTCTATCACATGCAATACATAATCTATGATCCCCCAATCGTGCCAAAACAAATTATAGGTTATTTTTTACCAAGTGACATTAGTAACCTTTCTAACTTGCGTTGCGCGAAATTTCCCAATATTTATAATTCATCAATATGTGGGGCTGGGAAGCTAAAGTCTCTTCAAGAACTGAGTATGTTTGATCTTAGAGATGTGAATGGTTATAGAATTGTGGAGCTGGAGAACATGAATGATCTTTGCATATTAGGAATCAACTGTCTTGAAAATGTTAAAGATGCCGAGGAGGCTTGTAGTGCCAAATTATATGTCAAGAGGAGGCTCATAGATTTAACCTTATGTTGGAGTAACACTGATTCGAGGAACATCGATTTAGATGAGAATGTGCTCGACAACCTTCAGCCACCAAAATGTTTAAGGAATATGAGGATAGAGAGATACATGGGTGCAAGGTCTGCAATATGGATGAACAATGTCAAACCGATCTTCAATCTAGAGAAAATCGAATTGACAGGTTGCAGTGAGTGGGAAACTCTTCCTCCTTTCGGGCAACTTCCCTTTCTCAAGTCACTGGATCTTTGGAACATGCCGAAAGTAAAATGGCTCGAAAGTAAATTTAATGGGAATGATAAATACCGTGCCTTTCCATTGCTAGAGGAGTTATATATTTCCGGATTAGAAGCATTAGAAGATTGGTTTGAGGCAGGAGAGTAGCTGCTGAAGATGGATGTTTCTTTCCTTGCTTAATTCAACTACAGATAGATTACTGCCCGAAGTTGAAAGAGTTGCCCTCTTTGCCTTCTAAGCTCAAGAGATTGGATATAGAAGGAATTGGGTGGACGAATTTGAATTTTTGTAGAAATTCAAATCCTATTCCCCTTGAAACATTATGGGTCCAGCACTGTCCAAACATTACATCTCTTCCTCTGGCTGATGAAATAGCAAGACTTGCAGCACTAAGACACTTGACAATTAAAAAGTGCCCCAATCTGATCTCTCTCGGAAGATATCGAGAAGTGGAGACCACTAATAATTGCCACCTCATACTCAAGTATCTCAGTATAAGTGATCCATCGGTGTTGCTAATGGAGCCATTGAGAAGTATCGGCTCCTTAAAAGAGCTGAGTATTTGGGATAATGATGAGCTGGTTTCATTTCCAAATGAGGCGGAGGAGTGGTTTCTGAAAGTTAGCTCTTCTCTTTCTGAGCTGCGATTTTCATCTCTCAAATCCTTACAGTCTCTCCCTTCCACCTTGGAAAGCTTATCTTCACTTCAGAAACTATCTATTGGTTATGACGTTCCTATGCTTCGGGAATTACCGAACCTTCCTCCCTCTTTGGAAAGTCTAACAATTTCGGGGAGATGTCATCCAGAGTTAAAGGAGCGCTATCTAGAGGATGGAGGCTCCGATCGGCACAACATTGCTCACATTCCGAATGTCCTTATACGTTAATGAAAATTTGAAAATACAAAAGCAAACTTTTTTCTTCTTATCTTATCTTATCTTATCTGTTTGATATATATGAAATGTGAAGAATGCATAATATTATGAACCAACTGTTTGTATCACTTCAATCAATTTTATTTATGCATCACTTGGTGGTGGTCCCTTTATATATAAATATATTCTTCTTTTAATATTTCAATTAATTATACTCAATTAATTATATATTTGATTGTAATAATATAAATATATAATCCAATTATGAAAAGCCAGATTCTATTCTAGTAGAGGACCTATTCTTTTGAAATATCAACTACAGGTCTTTGAATATAAATCTGCTAGATGAATGAATGGTTGGTTGGTTTGTTTTTCTTTTTCTTAGCTGATTTTGATTAATGTTGGATTATTGCTACTGCAGAAGTTTATGAAGTTGCCTTTATTTTGGTTTATATTTATTATTTGTTGCTTGTTAATAAGATTTGTTGGCCTATCTGCTACATATCTTCTAATGATTTTTTTTAGAATGGCTATAGGTGGTCTTATATAGGGATTTCATCTCTTTGTAAGCTGAACCATATTTATCTGGCGTCCTTACAGTCTCTCTCTTCCTCCTTGGAAAGCTTATCTTCACTCAATTTAATTTATATATCACTTAGTGGTCCCTTTTTATATATATAAAAATATTTTTCTTTTAAGTTAGATTCCTGATTTTAATCATTTACAGCTGAAATCTAAGTAGTTATTTTATTTCTTATTGATTTCTCGAAATCAAACAATTATTGAATTAAAATTATTTTGAGATAAATATTTTGTCAAATTAGTCTCCCATTGAATTCATTTAATTATTGGTTGATGCTTAAGGCTATAGATAAAATATAATTCAATTATGAAAAGCGAGATTCTATTCTAGTGGAGAACCTGTCCTTTTGAAATTGCAACTGCAGGTCTTTGAATAAAAGTCTGCTAGATGCATGGATGATTGATTGGTTTGTTTTTCTTTTTCTTAGCTAATTTTGGTTAATGTAAGATTATTACTTCTATATAAGTTCGTGAAATTGCCTTTATTCTGATTGATATTTAATGATTGTTGCTTGTTGATAAGATTTGTTGGTCTAAACCCTATCTATTACAGATCTTCTAATGATTTTATTTTTTTAGAATGGCTATATGTGATTTTATATAGAGATTTGATCTTAAAAAGCTGTTGGCTATGATCAACTAATATACGTTGGTAGAGAACTTCCAGTTTTTTGCAAAGTATAAATTTTTTATTTCGCTTAAATTTCTTATATTCTCTTATTGCTCAACAATCTCTGGATAAGTGATTGCTAATGGAGCCATTGAGAAGTATCGCCTCCTTATTAAAAGAGCTGAGAATTGCGTTCAATGATGAGTTGGTTTCATTTCCAAATGAGGCGGAGCAGTGGTTTCTGAATGTTAGTTCATCTCTTTGTGAGCTGGAATTTTATCAAGTCAAATCCTTAGAGTCTCTCCCTTCCTCCTTGGAAAGCTTATCTTCACTTCAGAAACTATCTATTTATAGCGCTCCTATGCTTCGGGAATTACCGAACCTTCCTCCCAATTTACAACATCTATCAATTGGGGGTTGTCATTCAGAGTTAAAGGAGCGCTATAGAGAAGATGGAGGCTCCGATCGCCACAAGATTGCTCACATTCCGAATATCAATATTTCTACATAAGCAAACTTCTTTCTTATTATCTTAATAATTTGTTTGATATATATATGAAATGTGAAGAATACAATCTCAGCATTAACCAGTTTCTATATACGTAAATATATTTTTCTTTAAGCTAGTTCTGATTTTGATCATTTACAATAGAAATCAAAATAGTTTTGTTTTTAATTTCTTGTTGATTTCTCGAAACCAAACAATCATTGAATTATTGTTTAATTCTGATTTTATATTTTTGTGTTTGCAGAAACAAAAAGAATTTTGGATGATCGGTCATCTTTAATCTATGAATTGTATTTCTTCTTGATATTCTATATTTATAATATTCCACTAAGCAGTCATTAAAATTTGTGCACTTTCATCAACTTTCGCATTAATTTTCTTTATTGATTTATTTATAATTTTTTTTTTTGAAAAGTTTGAGGCATTACCTGTATATATTGATCAAAAGAAGATTACAAGGAAAAGAAAATAATACAACTCATAAGATATAGAAGTAAGTAAAGAGCTGTAAAGCAAAAACATATAAACAAAAAAAGTCAAAAATGCTCAGGTGGACTCAGGTAATTTCCGAACATGCACCCAAGCAAGAAGAGAATCAATGCAAGAGCAGCTCAATATAAGAACAAAAAATAGGGACTTCACGTAGACCCTTGGTTGCCATCAAAAGAACCACAGTAATGTTCCAGTAGGGTCTAAAATGCCAGGCCAATTGTTGGAAAGGAAACATGCGGTAGGTGAGGCCCTCCATTGGAGAATTCAGACATGGAACCTGTTCGATGCATCATTGCCCAGAGACTTTCAAAAACCCATCTTGTAATTGAAATTGCGAAGGGAAGCAAGTCAGAAATGGATGTCTTAAGCTGTTAGAGTTTTTTCATCTAATGGCCTTAGCCGAAATGGCTAGGGCATCTTATGATACACAACAGTCGGAGTGCAATGCTTCCTCGAAAATCTTCGATCATTTCTTTCTCGCCATATGAAGTAAATAAAACAGCATATCACAAAAAGGAGAAGTTCTTATCATGAGACTTAAATTGTTGAACTTCGTCCAAAAACTCAAAAGTTGAAGCATAGTATGTCTAAATAAAAACCCTTCCACATTCGCAATAAGATATAGTAAAGTCTGAAAAAAGAAATCACATTAAAATAACAGGTGCAAAATGTTTTCTTCTTCCTTAGAGCAAAAAGGGCAGATGGGAGGAATATAAATTTTTCTTTTTGCAAGCACCTCGGCAGTTTTGAGACCATATTTAATTGCTAACCATACATATGAAGAAAATCTAAGAGCCGAGTGTTTGTGCCAAATATATTTGTGCCAGTCAACCTTAACAGAATCAACAAAATAGTAATGTTTAAAAGTTTTAAATCCAGAAGATCCCTCACCATTTCAAGAAATGCTTAAAGGTCCATCCAAAATTGAGATAGATGAAATTAATTGAGAGATATGAGAGGAAAAGTCACTGGGTAAGTCCCAATTTCCTTCAGTAACGTAATCACTCACAGCAGCAAAGCTAGAGGGAGTTTGGTGAGTGAGATGGGCAATTGATTTCCGGTTAACCCATAGATCCCAGTAAAGGGAGAGGCTGCTATTATAATTAATCACATGAAAATTAAGCATGTTTTTTATGCGTACATCAATGACACATATACATTTTCAGAATTTAGAGGCAGTATAGGAGGGGGGATTAAACAGGGAATTATATTTATATCTAAGCCAAGAAGAAACCAGTGAGCTGCTATTGTAGAATCTCCAAATAAAAGTGCAAGCATAACCAAAATGCATAGATTGAATGTCCGGAATGCCCAATTCCCCAAGAAAAGTGGGAAGACATGTATTTTTCCAAGCAATTAGATGAAGTTTTCTATCAGTTAAGATCCAATGAAAAAGAAATTTAGAGCACATTTTATCAATCAATTTTCAATAGCTCTTGGGTAAAATCACACCTTTGATCCAATAAGCTAATGTGTTTGCAATAATAAATTTCAAAAAATGGATTCTCCTTGCAAAAGACAAACAGTGATATTTAAATTAAGATTGACACGTGTAGTACTTACATAGTATTCTTGTAAACCAATCCTAGACTTACATGTATACATTACTATCCCTGTAATCTATATATAGGCTAGTACTTCTCTGATATGCATTAACAATTAATATCTTCTCTTTAATGTCTTGTTCTATTCCTCTGCATTGTTTGTCTCAGGAGCGATTCAAGAATCTCTCGGATATCTATCATTCTTCTTAGTATCAGAGCAAGGCTGATCATCCTGTCTTCCTCATGGCAACTTCAGCAGCATCTCATATCAAAGAGCAACCTGATCAAGAAGCTATGGATGCTATTAGCATCTCATCTTCTCTGAAATTTCTAGTATCCAACCTAAAAATGTGATTCCTACTCAACTTTCTCCCGACAACTACTACTACTCCCTCTGGAAATCTCAAATAACTAAGCTTCTTCGCGCAAATGGTTTCGCCCAATTTCTCGAAACCTCCTCACATGCTCTGCCTCGTTTGCTCCAGCAGTCGGACGGCTCAACCATTCCAAATCCTGCTTACCAACAATGGCTGCTCACCGACCAAAATTTGGCTGCCACTATTTGCTCTACAATTTCTGCCTCTGTTCTTCCATATATCTTGAATCTTGAATCTTGACTCTACGTCGGCTATTTGGGCTTCTCTAGAAACCAGATTTCAATCCATAAACTGATCTAGGGTTATTCAACTCAAGAACAAGTTACACAATATCTCCATGAAAACCTCCACAATGACTTAATATTTGATTGAAGTTAAAACTCTTGTCGACGATATTCTGATTACTGATAACAATCCTTTGGCCATTACACTTTTTCTGCATTAATTATATGCTAAATTCACTATGAAACAACAGGGAGCAGCACACTCGTTCCTAAGAATTCAAATTAGCTCCCAACAGAACCAATACTTCCTATCCCAACCGCATTATGCCAATTCCATCCTTCAAATTGCCAATATGACCAAATGTAACTCCTTAGCTAATCCTACATGTACCAAACTCCCACAAGAAATCGTGGTTGGTCCCATCCTTTATGATCCAACTATATACAGAAAAATCTCAGTTTCTCTTCAATATTTAACTATTACAAGACCTGACATATGTTATTCGGTCAACCTTCTTTCTTAACATATGCATAATCTTCTACCTCAACATATTTACCTTCTCAAACATCTACTTCGATATATCCACGACACACAACATTTTGTCATTCCTATTACTAAACATGATCTTACTCTTAGCTCTTTTTCATATGCAGACTGGGCAGGTGATATGGTCTCTAGAAAATCAACATCTGGTTATAGTTCTTTCATAGATACAACACCGGTCTCTTGAACGGCAACACACAGTTGCTAGGTCATCCATTGAATCCGAATACAGGTCTCTTGCAGGAGCCACGACGGGTATACTTTGGCTTCCTAAGATCTTAATTAATTTTAGAATTATCTTGGATAAACCTACAGACTTATATTGTGACAATACATCAGCAATTGCACTCGCCAACAATCCTGTTTTTCACGTCAGAACCAAACATAATGAAATCAATCACAGGTTCATTCGTGATCATATTCAAAGTAACAACATTCGGCTTCTTCCCATAAGTACAATTGACCAAACAGCATACATTTTCAATAAGCTGCTATCTACACCAAGATTTCTTCACCTTCGCTCAAACTGACGATCACTGTAGAACAATCAACTTGCGGGGGAGTATTAGAACATACAGACAATGATATTAAAATTAAGATTGACATGTGTAACAGTTACATGGTAATTTTGTATACCAATCCTAGACTTACATGCTTACATTGTTATCCCTGTAATCTATATATAGACATTTACTTCTCTTATATACAATAATAATTAATATCTCCTCTTTATTGTCTTATTCCATAATTAATATCTACCATTCTTTAGTATCTAAATATTAGATTGAATATTTGAATAAGAACAATTTAGTCTCATGATGAAAAATATTCAATCTTGAAGCTTCAAGGCATTTCAAATAGTAGATTTTCTAAAATAATTTTTTAATAAAACATTTTTATTTCAAAAAAAAATTATATTTAAAGATTGATTTAGAAAGTAGTAACTAATGAATATCCGGCTGCTTAAACTTTGTTTGGCACACTTTTTTAGTATTTTTTTAAAATAATTTTTTAGTACAAGATTTTTTAGTACAAAATTTTTTTTTAATAAGAAGTAAAAACTGCTTTAGGTAAGAAGCAGGAAAAAAAAACCGTCCAAATAAAAGTTTAAGCAGTCCCAAACGGACCCTTAGTGTGCGTTTGCTTGACTTGCAGTTAAGTTTAATGATTTATGCGACGCCACATTTGACCATTTACGGCTGGAATTCCTCGGCGGCGCTATTGACGTCTCCGCTAAGCCATCAGATTTCCCTCTTCTTAACCAGCAGGATACCGCGTGAGCCGGTAGACTATCTAATCTGTGCATCTCTTCTAGTCTCCTGTTTTTTTCTTACTGTTCAGTTGTTCTGCTCTACACCGATCGTCGTTGCCATGGCGAATATGCTTCTTGATCCAATTATGGAGGAGATCATCAGCGCTGGCTTCCGTTACCTGAAAGATCAAGTCAGGTGGCAGACAGGCATGAAGGAGGAGCTGGAAAAGCTGAAAGAGAATCTCCCCCATATCCAAGCTGTCGTCTACTTTGCTTCTAGTCAAGAGCAGATCACAGAACAAAACCCGGCTCTTAACAAATGGCTATGGCAGCTACGAGATGCCATTGATGATGCATATGAAGTGGTTGATGAGCTGGAGTACATGGAGCTGGAAGAACAGGTGACCAAAAACAAGAAGCTGAGAAGGGTGCGTTCCATCATGAAATCCATGAGGAGAAGACTTGTCAAAATTGCCAAACGTGCTCTCAAAATTGATCCCACCTTGAAGCGACTGGAGGAGGCTGTGCAGAAACTTCATAAAGTTTCAACAACTGGCGTTGATGCTTTCCTTCATCTTGTAAAACACGCAAAAAAAGAACTTCAGAAGCAGCAGCTTGAGCTGCACGGAGCACGTGAAACGGGATCCTTGCCTAAAAATGATCTCATTGGGCGTGGCAAGGATAAGGAGCTTGTTCTGGAGTGGCTGAGGAATCCATCAAATGAGCATCGGGGAACTGATTTGTACAGAAACATTTCTCTTCTATGTATAGTGGGCGATGGTGGTATGGGGAAGACAACTCTCTTGCAACATGTTTATAAAGATGAAATCACAAAGGACTTTGATCGTAAAATGTGGGTTTGTGTTTCCAACAACTTTGATGTGAAAAAAGTCATTGCAGATATGTTCGAATGTCTTAAGAATGAGAGGGCTCGTTTGGAGACACTTGTGGCACTTCAAAGGCGTCTCGAGGAGGAGGTGATGTGCAAAAAGTTCTTACTTGTGCTGGATGATATTTGGGAGGAGGATGAGGAGAAGAATAAAAGCAAATGGGAGGATGTGCTCGCCCCTCTAGCTTCTGGGGGTTTTGGTAGTAAGATTCTAGTAACAACTCGAACGGACTCAGTTGCACTGATGTTTGAAAAGGTAATTAAAAAGAAGAAGGAAATAGTTAAATTAGAGGGGCTAGAGGAAGATGCGTGTTTGCAGCTCCTCAACTCTCATGCATTTGCTGAATGACAACTTGGATGAAAGGCATTGGAGGACAGTTCTGGGAAAGCAATTTATTGGATCAGAATTCTATTCATTCCATATTAAGACTGAGCTATATAGTTCTGCCAAATCATCTACGGAATTGTTTTGCATTTTGTTGTATTTTCCCACAAGATCATCAGTTTGATAAAGTTGATTTAGTCCGAATGTGAATTGCATTGGGTTTCATTCAGCTGTCTCAAGAATGACTATGGAGGATATCGGAGGAAGGTATTTTGATGTTTTAGTCAAAAAATCTTATGGATGATGAAGAGTCATTTCTCAAAAATTTTTAGATTATTCTACACTTGTCTGTTAGAACTACAAATCCATACATCTTAAGAAAGATTGAGAAGTTTAAACATTTGCATTCTCTTTTCTTTTTCTACGGAAATTCTAATCAGGATCTTTGCTACAGAAGTTTGTATAATTGCCTTTATTCTGCTTGATATTTACTGATTGTTGCTTGTTGATAAGATTTGTTGGTCTAAACCACATCTACTACAGATCTTGTAATGATTTTTTTTAGAATGGGTATATGTGATCTTATATAGAGATTTGATCTTAAAAAGCTGTTGGCTATGATCAACTAATATACGTTGGTAGAGACTTAATAGAGTTTCAAAAAATGTGTTGACTGTAACTATCACACACGACTGGCTCCACATCAGACGAAATCCCTCACCGACATACTCGACACAACCGACACCGGTCCCACCTCACGAC